TCCATTTCTTAGTGACAAATTGTTTTAAAGAAAATTCTACCCCATTTTTCCATCGCATAACCATTTCATTTACAAGATCAAGTATAAAATCGCAGCTAGTACTTGTCATGGGAGGAACGGATAATTTTCCTGATTTAAATCTTTAAATCTCATTCAGCAAAATGAACAAATATTTATTCAAGTAATTGACTTGAAAGCAACACATCACTATTTAATACAAACATTAATGACCTTTGGAGTAGGGCTGCACGATAAATCGCATGCGATATTTAACGCCCATCTTGTCAGTAAAGCCATTCTGTAATCAGCGGTAAATCTCCATCACGTGCGGGCTTTCACATGGAGCAGCATTAACTACACAGAGCCGTTGTTCACCGACAAGCTGCGAAAAACATGCGCAAAATGTGATCGTGATTTTGCGCAGCTTGTCAGTGAACAACGGCTCTAAATATCGCATGCAATTTATCGTGCAGCCCTAATTTAAATCTTTAAATCTCATTCAGCAAAATGAACAAATATTTATTCAAGTAATTGACTTGAAAGCAACACATCACTATTTAATACAAACATTAATGACCTTTGGATGACAGCAGCAGCAGACTAGCAGTGAAAACATCTGTGACATATACTGTATAAGAAGGCAGTTTTTACTTATAATTCTGTGTTTGTGTTCCCTATGTGCTTTGATGCACGATCAAGAAATCTGTGAAACGGGTACAGACGGAAGAACTTTACTGTACTAATGCATTAACTTTGACTAACACATTCTTTTCATCTTTAATTGAGAACTTGTGCATCTGGGTCTGTTTGTCTGGAAAGGGAAGAAAGAAATGCAATTTTGGGTTAGTTTGAGCTAGTAATTTGACTGTGCCAGTCAGCATGGGACACAGTCTCAGTTTCAAGCTTCAACTTAATGCTGTGTAAACTACTCTCTGTCCATATACTGTATATGGACACTGTTCGGTCTGTCCACTCAGCAACAATAGCCAGTTCATGGTAAAATCTCTCTACTGGGGTTTTCCTCTGACATCACCTCCACTGTTTTGGCTTCTCTTCTGTGCCCCCTCACTCCCCATTTCCTGTTCACGCAGGAAGTCTCTGCGTAGTCTTCCGCTCGGTTGTGCCCATGGCAGTAGGGTTGGGTATCGTTTGGGTTTTTTTCGATACCGGTGAGCCCTAATTTAAATCTTTAAATCTCATTCAGCAAAATGAACAAATATTTATTCAAGTAATTGACTTGAAAGCAACACATCACTATTTAATACAAACATTAATGACCTTTGGATGACAGCAGCAGCAGACTAGCAGTGAAAACATCTGTGACATATACTGTATAAGAAGGCAGTTTTTACTTATAATTCTGTGTTTGTGTTCCCTATGTGCTTTCACGCACGATCAAGAAATCTGTGAAACGGGTACAGACGGAAGAACTTTACTGTACTAATGCATTAACTTTGACTAACACATTCTTTTCATCTTTAATTGAGAACTTGTGCATCTGGGTCTGTTTGTCTGGAAAGGGAAGAAAGAAATGCAATTTTGGGTTAGTTTGAGCTTGTAATTTGATTGTGCCAGTCAGCATGGGACACAGTCTCAGTTTCAAGCTTCAACTTAATGCTGTGTAGTTTACTCTCTGTCCGTATACTGTATATGGACACTGTTCGGTCTGTCCACTCAGCAACAATAGCCAGTTCATGGTAAAATCTTTCTACTGGGGTTTTCCTCTGACATCACCTCCACTGTTTTGGCTTCTGTTCTGTGCCCCCTCACTCCCCATTTCCTGTTCACGCAGGAAGTCTCTGCGTAGTCTTCTGCTGGGTTGTGCCCATGGCAGTAGGGTTGGGTATCGTTTGTTTTGTTTTTTTCGATACCGGTGCCAAATCGATACTTTTAAAACGGTTCCGGTGCCTGAACCGATACTTATTAAAAAATAAATAAATAAA